TAGAAAGGTATGGCTTCTGTCTAGTCCGGGATCGGACTAGACCGTGCGGTTGGGTCTGTGGGGCTCATCACAGGTCCCGTTTTGATAATTTGAACCGTGCAATGTGTAGAACTCGTCGAGTACTATATGTTTGTAAAAAATCACGTTGATCAGATATCGATAGCTATATGATCAAATCAGTTTCGTATTAAAAAAATTAGACGGTGAACAAATTAACGGTTGACAAAAAACTGTTTTGATCACATAGCTATCGATATCCGATCAACGTGATTTTTTACAGGCATATAGTACTCGACGATTTCTACATATTGACGGTTCAGATTATCAAAACGGGACTCGTGGTAGGCCTCCACGGGCCCAACAGCACGGTCTAGTCTGATCCCAGACTGGACAGAAGCCATACCTTAGAAATAGTAATAATAACTGAAACTAACAGTTATGATTTATAATTTCATTTTTGAATTTTAATTTATATGCAAAACATGACAAATTTCACAGATATTTTTTAATGATTTGTAAAATTTATGTTACATGACATTTTATTTGTTAATATTTTAATTGTGTCAACTAAAATAGTCATCAATTTTGGTAATAGTTCTTGATAGACAACATTTTTTAACAATCAACAGCGTTCTTGATAGACAACATTTTTTTAACAATCAACAGTGAGATTACATTGCGAAGAGCATGAAGAAGTCGAATTGTTCCAGAAGCATTTCCCGTAGTTTGTTCCACAACAAGAACCATTTAACCAATAGCTCTTATTAGGTAACTTCTGAAAGAGGATATTACCACCAGATCAATTTGATTCTAGAGCAAAGGTACTCAGAGTTCTGTTAGGGGTCTGTTGAGTTCAATTATGTCTCTTAGGCTTGGTTTGGGAAGTGGGTTGACTTTTTAGCTTTTTGACTTTTTTAGTTATTTTAGCCTGGGCTTAAAAGTTTGGTTTGGGAAGGACTTTTTGACTTTTTGACTTTTTTGAGTTTTTTTGTGAGAGAAGAATGTAATGATTATGGGTTGGATGTGATGTTTTGTTTGTTATGGCTAAAATAGCCTATTTTGTTTTTTGTGACTAAAATAGCCAAAAAAACCTGCAAACCCACTTGTCAAATTCTCATTGGAGATGTGAAGCCCAAACATAAAAATCTTAGACAGCAGATGTTGAGAGGGCATAGTAAGCTGGCATTGGATAGCTTATTGGCACAATGGATAGCAGATCTTGAGCGGGCATGGTTGAAAGCTTCACCAGCACCAGAGAGGAAAACAGAGAGGAAAATAGTTAGTTTGCCATCTGCAGCTGGTTGTTCAACTGGTCGAGGGTGTGGATGCAGTTTTTCACATTCCTATTGCATGGTCAAAAGCTTCAGCAGCACCAGCGGTTTTAAAATCTGCATAAGAGGATGGAGAAGTCCATCTCACATACAATCAACATTGATCTGTTACTGTAGATAAGGGTTTGTATATACAGCACAAAAACTGTAGTTTTTTTTATACATGTGACAAGCACGTCCCCAAAACTTAGTTTACACAAGATTTGCAGGATGTTACTACATATTTGAAGGCTCCCCCCCCCCCCCCCCCCCCCAAAAAAAAAAAAAAAAAAAAAAAAACACGAAAGGAAAAAAGGCAAGTGAACTGAAAACATTTTTACAAATGTACATGGAAATGGTGTGATACCATTGATTCAAAACTATGTACAAAGCAATGGTTTGACACCATTTGGCAAAAACTATACTGCAGATTTGTACATTGTTGAAGGGGTTGGATTTAGGAAATACGGTCCAAAACTTTTGAGTTGTCTCAGCTGGAGTAGATGTTGCTTCTTTTTCAAAGAGTTTCTTGGGGGCCTTTTTTGGAGGTGGTGGCAACATTGGTTCAGAAGTAGAGTGGTCAATTGTCGCTAAGCACTCTTTGTGTACTGATCTAACATTGAACTTGCAACGTGTAGTAGTTGCAGTGTGAAATTGGTAAAGTGCATAGCTGGATGATTTGTTCGTCAGTTGTGTAAAGAGTTGCTAGTGTTTCTACTGAAAGCTGACCAACCTGCAAAAGTGACGCTGGAAGTAAGGAGAGAAGTAGTTTGGTGAAGTTGGAGAGGTGTATATTAATACAATGAAAAAGATTTACAGTTGATGTACTTTCCATCCATTTTTGTGCATTTATTGAGAAAAGATTTTCCGCTTGTGCACCGAAAATAGTTGCAGTTATGTCGCCACTTGAATCTCGTAGTTGCACATCAAATTTACACCTACATTAATTGTATGTCAAAATGGTTGTTTTAATAATTACAATATTGTAAGCAGTCAAGAGTTTAAAGTGTGCATAATATTTTAACATTCAATGGGGAACGGATATTTAACCTTGGTTCAGGTTTAGCTCTCTCCTTACAATAGTTGCATTGGAATATGTCATCTGCTTCGGCATCAGTACCTTTATTGCATTTTGAACAACACATGAACCAGAACTTCTGATTGAAATTTTGTACTGTGGCAGATGTTTGTACCCAGTAGTATGTTGGCTAAAACATTTATATTTTAAACGTTGTTGAGATCTAAAGAAAAAGTCTCCCCCACACCGCACCAAAGGGCAAAAAAAGGAGTGTATAGGGAAAAAAATAAAAATAAAGAAACAAAGTATCGAAAATGGATCAAGTAAACATAAGATTTCACCTGGTCAATAGATGTTGGAAGTTGGGAAATTGCAATGATTTTGTTGGCTGTTGGTGATGGAGTTTGTGCATTTCCTAGTTGATGTATTTTGTTCAAAGGAATTGCTTTAATTGCTTTTTCATGAGCCACACACCTACAGAGGTTGAATAAAAGTATTTGTATTGTAAGTAGCAATAGTTAAATTTAATATTACAATTTTAATTTATTACAATTACAATAGTTAAGAAACTTTACCAATTCAACAATGCTTCGGCCTCTGGGAGTAGAGGATTGAGAATGTAAGTGCTTCCAGATTTTTGCTCAGCGCCAGTCCTGTTGGATACGTAAGTGTGTTATTTCTTCACATTAATATAATTATTAGGATGGTTAAAGTGATAGTCCATTAAATTACCATTATAGTTTGTTGCTTTTAATTGCATTCCAATCACGATTGGAAATTGACCTAGCATGCGGGAAATTGCAGTTCCCTTGTTCAGCCCAAATTGGTCACACAATGTCAATATTATAGGTTTCATGCTGCAAGTAAGATTTGTTAGAGAGTTTGAATAGAATAGTGTAATGAATTGTGAATGAGTTGGTTTGAGGCTTACCGTTGATCAAGGAAGCACGGGTGCGGGTACGAGTACGGGTGCAGGTACGCCGATACGGCAAAATTCAAAAAAAGTATGATACAGGTACGGCTGCGGTACGCCGATATATATATATATATATATTTTTATATGATTATGGTTAAAGGGTTCAACCTACAAACTAAAATTAAATATCAAGCTGCGGTACGTCGATATATATATATATATATATTTTTATATGATTATGGTTAAAGGGTTCAACCTACAAACTAAAATTAAATATCAAAACTAAAAAGAAAACTACTCATTTTTCTATAATTTAAAATCATTAAGCGTTAAAAATAATATTTGTGAAATCTCTCACTTTGACATGTTACGAACTATGAATTTGTGATCATAATTTATTTTTAAAATCTTTCTTTTTGCTCATCAATTTGCTATTTTTATAGGGTGAGACCAAATTCTCAATTGAGGCAGATTGTCAATTGTAATTTACATAATACATAAAATTGTATCATTCCCAACCACTACTAATCAACTAAAACCATATCAATTTTTAATATTTTGTGCATAAACTTTAAAAGTTTGTTATGATTAAAGATTTTATAAAGAAATTCTAGGAGGATTTGAAGCAAAAGTATAATGCATAGTCATACACAGAACTGCCCTTTACAAGCCTTGTTATTTTTTTTTTGTTCAAATTGCTTTTTAAAAACATCAAAATCATTTGTTGATATGCTTATATAATTCATACAAATAGACAGGATAATAGAGAAACATCAAAATTGCTGATCTGCAAGGGCACCAAAACAAAAAAACAAAAAAAAAAAATGGCCCCGGCGTACCCACCGTACCCACGCCGTACCCATGCCGTACCCGAATGAACCAAACGTACCGGACCCTTTTTGCCGTACCCGGTACGCGTACCCACGCCGTACCTGAATGAACCAAACGTACCGAACCCCCTTTTGCCGTATCCGGTACACGTACCGCTGTACCGGTACGCGTATCCGCGCCCGGTACGTACCCGGTACGCGTACGGCACTATTTTTGGAGTACCCGTGCTTCATAGCCGTTGATCTATGATAACAGCCTCTTGCAAGGAGGAGTCAGTGCGAGCATTGTCACGGACACTTTTAAGTTTGATTTTGCGAGTGGGTGCAGCCTGTAGGACCGCAAATAACACATCTACATGTAATAACAGTACAATATGAATTGGTATACATGTGTGTTGCATTGTGTATTAAGTAAAGGGACAAATCTTACTTATGTCTTGTGGCGGCTGATGGTAGTGTTCAAGATCAATCAACTGAACAAAGTCAGGTGTGAACTTGTGGATAGTTAGCTGGTCATCACTTATTTCTTCAATGCATGTGCGGGCAGATATGGTCCACTGATATTCATAGATGACAAGACGATGTTCAACTGGAATGCACTTTACAACTGCATTTGAAATTGAATAGGCAGTAAACAGTTGCAAAGTGTTCCCTAGAATTTCAATGTCGTCACCAAAAATTGATGCTTGTATTGTTGTCCCCTGTAGTAAGAGTGTAGAAGGTAAAAATCAATTGTTAGTATTTTTCCAAAAGCGATTGATGTTTTCTTTGTTGTTTTTGTTTTTTTTTTTACTCAATTTTTTTTTTTTTTTTTTTGGAGTAAATGTGTCTAAAATATATAAGTATGCAATTCCGCAAAAGCATATTTTGGGGATCCATTAATATTGGCAATATGATATACATAAGATCATACCTCAGCATCAACCAGCATCAATCTTTGAAAATCTTTGTTACTTGTCATTCATGTTCTTTGAAAGCCCTTTTCAATAACCATGACTTTAGTTGTCCATTGGTTTGTTGATGTGTCTATCTCTTTAATTGATCTGAACTTGTTAGCTATAGTTCTTTGCAGGACTATAATAACAAAACACATTGGTCAAACAAAATAGAAATGTGACTGCAATCAATTGGTTTTGATAAGAATAACTTCGTAGTCGTAGTGCAAGAAAATTTTACATATAATTAATGATGGCTGAGAACTGGTTGCAGTAAATACATGTGTGCAACATTTGTAAATTGAACAGATTAGATGTTAACTTCAGTCTAAATAAGAAGGTATAAATATGATTTTGTAATCAATGTTATTAAGAAGCACCTGGATCATCAGGCATGAAGTATAGATTTTTCGAAGGAGCAACTGGTTATTAAGAAGCACCTGGATCATCAGGCATGAAGTATAGATTTTTCGAAGGAGCAACTGGAAACTATTAACCTCTAATAAAATTCATCAAATTGTAATGACAAAACTATTTGGGTTGAAACTGATTTTAACATTCAGCGAAAAGTTTCTACTATTTAGAATAGGGAGAGTTGGCTCATCTCAAATTTCACTTTTCACCAAATTTGATAAAAAAAAAATCCATATCCATATCCATATATATATATATATATTAAAAATAAAAAATAAAAACGAGTATAGGTTCTCGCATAAGAGGGAAGAGTGGGGAAAAGGGGTTTCGCAGGTTTGGGTGGGGAGGGGGAGGGTTTTCGGTTGAATGGTTTTTAAGTGGGAAAGAAAGGTTGGGAAGAACTTGTTGCAAAGGGGGAAGAGGGATAGGGTTTCATACCTGTGTATTGAAGCTTGGAATCATTGAAGATGAAGGTAATTATCAGAAATTGGAGGTGCCTTCAGTCCTCAAATAGGGAACCTTGTCTCTGACTCTGATAGATAGGGGTGGGCGCGGGTCGGTTGCGGCCACGGAACCTCCAATCCGCCATCCGTCCGCCAGATTGGCGGATTGAAGAAAATCAATCCGCATCCGTCCGCTAATCCGGCGGATGTGGATTGAGCGGATTGGCGGTTTGGCGGATGGATGCGAATCGGTTTGGCGGTTTAAAATTTTATAAATTTTCAACATAATTCAACTTGTGCACTTCCTCAAAAAAAAAAAAAGTATTACAGTCAATGATATAAAAAAATATTACAATCACTGTATGCCTTATCCAAAGAAAGAAAGTTTGAAACTTTAGAATATCACGATCACTACATGCCTCATCCACATATTACAATCACAGCATCTCGAAATTTGATAAAAAAAAAAAAAGCAGCAAAAAAAAAAAGGGACTCTTCCTTGATTTGATAAAAATTTGATGAAAATATTGGAGAGTTCATATGAAATGATGGTCCTTTTTACTCAAATTTAAAACTAAATTAGATGAAAATTTTGAGGAATGACTGGAGATGGTATAACATTCAATAAAAATATATCATTTGGGTATTTTGCGGGCGAATAACTTTTCAACATCATCAATAGGCGATGAAGAAGCTATTTCTGAAATATACATCATATGATATGTCCATATATCCATATAAAAAAAATAGAGTATAAAATAATATCATAACTCATATAAGATTAATTATAACAGCTTCCATATCCATATCCATATCCATATCCATATCCATATATATATATATATAACCCCAACTATGCACAATTGCAAAAGAACTTTAAAATACCCAGAAAGGGGGTCTGACTAGCATGGCTCCTCCCTAGCCTTTCCTATATATATCAAAGTAAAGCAAGGGGGAGAGAGGGTTGGGAGATTGGGATTGAGGAGAGAGAAGAGACCAAATCAGGAAGGAGTGATATATGGGAGTGAGGATCCTCTCCTTGCAGCTTCCGTACTTGCGTCCGTCTTTACAGGCCTTCGGGTCTACTTTTAGGCCCAATTTTGATAATCCGAACCGTTCATATTTTATGATTTATTCAGTATATCATACCTGTAAAAAATCAAGTTGATCGGATATCAGAAAGCATATGTTCGGAAAACTGTTTATTAAATTCTTTAAAAAATAGTGTTTAGTTCAATTTTTCAAACACATACTTTCTGATATCCGATCAACTTGATTTTTTACAGGTATGATATACTGAATAAATCATAAAATATAAACGGTTCGAATTATCAAAATTAGGCCTAAAAGTAGACCCAAAGGCCTGCAAGGACGGACGCAAGCACAAGCTTGCAAGGAGAGGCTCCTGACTCGATATATGGGGCCTTTTCCCAAATTAAGTCAAATTAATAACTTAATTTTTGGCTTAGATTTAGTTTGGACGAAATTGTTAAATTAGGTTGAAACGTGATTATGAACTACGCTTTTAACGTTTTTGTAGCTATTATGGAAATTTTGTGAAATTATAAAAGTGTGTTTCTAAATTACGCTTTTAATTAAGAAATCATAGTTTGTATCCACGCTTTTAATTAAAAAAAAAATTTTGAAAACGTTGTTGTGAACCACGCTTTTAACTTAAAATAAATTTCTTCTGAAAATGTGATTGTGAGCCACGCTTTTAGTTGTGGTTGTGAACTACGCTTTTAACTAAAAAAAAATTTCTTCTGAAAGAGTGGTTGTGAACCACGCTTTTACTGTTCACCACCTAAAGCGTAGATGATAACTACACTTTTAACCAAAATCTGTTTTTAAAACTTATGTAAAAACTCCCCCAGCCCTGTCATTTGCCAAACTCATTTTCTTTAAAATGGCTTTTCCAATGCCGTTTTTGATGAATAAAAAAATAATAAAATTTTCTTTCGTAAAAACGGTTTCTTTTAGTAATTTTTTTCCCAATTTATATTTTTCAACATAAATATAAATTGCCACAAAATAATGTAATTCAGAAAATGGGTTTAGTAAAACCGTTTTCTAATACAGCTTTCCTAAGGCCGTTTTCATTTATTTATTTTTTTCCGTTTTCATGTAATTTTTTTATTTTTTCTGTTGTCTTTGTTCTGGTGTAATTCAGAAAACGGGTTTGCTAAAACCGTTTTCTAATACAGCTTTTCTAAAGTCGTTTTCATGTAAAAAAAAAAAAAATTCTGTTGTTTTTGTTTTGGTGATAATGCAATTCAGAAATTTTTTTTGGCTTTACTAAAGCCGTTTTCATGTAAATTTTTTTTATTTTTTCTTTTGTCTTTGTTTTGGGTTAGAAGGTGATAATGTAATTCAGAAATTTCTTTTGGCTTTACTAAAGCCGTTTTCATGTAAATTTTGTTTTTTCCTTTTGTCTTTGTTTTGGGTTAGAAGGTGTAATTCAGATATTTGTTTTGGCTTACTAAAGCCGTTTTCATTTAAATATTTTTTTTTTCTTTTGTTTTTTTTTTTTTTTGGCTTAGAAGGGGATATAATTCAAAAAATTTTTTTTTGGCTTTACTAAAGCCGTTTTCATTTAAATATATATTTTTTTTCTTTTGTTTTTTTTTTTTGGCTTAGAAGGTGATAATATAATTCAAAAAACCGGTTTAGTAAAACCGTTTTCTAGCCGTTTTCCTTAAATTTTTTTTTTCTTTCGTCTTTGTTTTGGATTAGAAGGTGATATACATGCTCTACAGTCCGAAGCACACCCAGACACTGTGCAGTTCGACGAACAACGACGAAGGGTGAGACGCGAAGAGCACTGCGGAGGAGGCCAAGAAGACGAAGGCTACCGCGAGAGCTGTAGCAAGAAGGAAGAAGAGAAAGACCTCAAATTTTGGTGATGTATTTTTTACACACGAATGATACTTTTTCTGTTTTTTGCTATGTAATGTAACTTGTATGTAATTTGAATTCTGATTACGAACAGGAACTTATGTAATGTAAATATTGGGTTAGAGTTGATGTTATTGCGATTCAATTGGTTTCGCTTATTTCATAAGACTGATGTTGTGCAATGAATGAATGAATGGAAAGGTTATTTGTTTTATTCAATTGGTAGTGTATTTTTTGTAAGAATGAGAACGTTATTTGTTATATTCAATGAATAATGGTTACATTTTTGGGTTGTCACGATTGAGAAGATGAACAAGTTAAGAGAATGTATATTTGCCCTAAAATAAATTTTGTCAACATTTTTGTAATAAAACTTGATACATAATATACGAAATCACTAATTTACTAAATACCCATACAGGAATGAAAACAACATAACTGAAGTTGCAAATGTAACAGTTTTCAGTTACATAGGTAGTACAGACATAAGTCTCCCACAAAAATACATTCTGGACACCATGAACTGAACACACAATATATGCATCCTAGACACCCTGAACTGAACACACAATACACAAACATAGCAGTTAGATAGACAAATATTAGGCAGACAATCTGACAAACTCATTACAGAAACACTTAGTCTAACACAAACATTACATATTAATGCATGACCTAATATTGCCGAAGTATAGACATAAACGCCTAATTCGCGCTTAAATCGGCAATCTCAGAGTCTGAATAATCCGAAAACTCAGGGTTAAAGACAAGTTCAGGATCCTCCATGATACCCTTGATAGCCGCAACATTTGGTTCTGTTCTATTCTTCTGGGCATTCTTCTTAACTATGTATAGTTGCATATCGCGGGCTAACCTACGGCGCATTTGAAAAATCTCACGTTGTAGTCTTCCACATAGTCGATCAACATTATTAGGATCTTCCTTTTGGATCTGAACAGAACGTGCTTTTGGCACCTTAAGTTGATTTTCCCGACTTAAGGTTTCCAGCTGTACCCGCTCTATAAATGGTGCGGGCCACTTGAGATGAGCAATGTCAGATAAACCATATCCTGTTTGATTGTCAGATGGCTCCATACATGAACCTCGTTGAACTCGATAATACTTGGGCATCAAAAAATGTCGCTTCACAAACCTATCACGATAACCACAAGCATAATCTAAAACAGGTATTGTTGTTTCGTCTTCAGCATCGCCACGTCCCCTTCCTTCTCCTCGTCGTGAACTGTCACCCCTTTGCAAGTTCCTACCACCTCTACGATTCGCACTCCCTCCCATAAATCGTGTAGCCATGCTAATTTTTTTAAACAAATAAATGATAATTTCGTAGGGCGAAATGAGTTGTAAGGTTGTGTCTTCACCTTTAGTAGTTTATATAGTTGGTTATGAACGGCTTTAGAAAGACATTGAAGGAAAAATCATAGAAAATAAATGTCTCTGCATGACAATCCCACATATACGAACAAGGTATGAGTTGTCACTGGAATGAAAAGCAGAGAAAAGCAAATACTGTGTACCAAGTCACGTGACTTGACAATCTATCTACATATACCGACAAAATAAGGGCATGCTCACTGTAAGGTAAATCAGTGAATTCACCGTTGCCATGTGACTTTCTGAATTGACAATCCCACATATATCAATAAGAGATGAGTTGTCACTGTAATCAGAAAACAGAGAAAAGCAATGCCTGTGCACCAAGTCACATAACTTGACAATCCATCTGCATATACCGACAAAATAAGGGCATGCTCACTGTAAGGTAAATCAGTGAATTTACTGTTGCCATGTGACTTTCTGAATTGAGAATCCCACATATATCAATAAGAGATGAGTTGTCACTGTAATCAAAAAATCGAGAAAACCAAGCCTGTGCACCAAGTCACATGACTTGACAATCCATCTGCATATACCGACAAGTCTCTCCATGATTTGACTACTCAATGTGTGAAAAAAGGAAGCTTATGTAGGCAATGTTGTGTTTCACTTAGCTATGCATCATTCGTTGTTACGACCAACTATTTGTATTTCATTGAAAAGTATGACTATTTGAATTTTTGTTGTCATTTGGAATTATTTGAAAATCAACTTTTGAATATTCAATTTGTAATATTTTGGGAAACATTTACAACATCAACTGAACATTGGTCGTAACGTACCCATCCGTAGATCAATCCTAACAAATTTG